ATCAGAAAAGGTGGACAATCCACTTTAATAGTGAGAAACCAACAATTCACAAAGGCCTAGGAGAGTTGGAAGACATTTTGCACTGTATCTATTTTAGTCACAGTCAACACCTACTAGAATTCTTCAAGAATTAGTTTTATTTCAGTTTCACTGTCTTCCTTTCTAGCTAGTTTGCTTTGTTTTTGTTTTCTGTCATCTAGTTTTTTTGGGGGGGGTAATTTTTTTATCTTTTAACAACTTTATTGTGGTATCTGTCATCTAGTTTTAAAAAACAAGTTTAGAAAGAGAACCAAATAAGAAAAAAAAATCATGAATACAGCAAGCAATGAGCTAAAGCATCTGTGTGAGTCAGTTTCTCCCTTAGAAAAGAACAAAATATAGTGAATTTATTGTTTACGACAGGTTAAACAAGAACTTCCTAATTTCAAAAAACTTTCTTCAGTGCTAAGGTAAAGTCTTTAATACAATGAATGAACACTTACATGGGTAAAATCTGAACTACTGCAGGTGAAAAAATGTTAACCTGTCACATCAGCAAGCAGAAGATGCTGCGGCCATCAGGCCATCAGCCACTACAGCCACCCCCTCAGTGAGCGCAGAGGGCTCGCAGGATGGAGACAGATAGGCTGTGCGCTGCCAAGCCCGTGGCCTCTGCAGCCACCCCCAACACTGCACCCAGAGGGGACTCAGGAGGAGAAAGAACAGGGTAACGCACGTCACAGTAGTGACTTCAGTGAGCCCAGACTCTTACATCTTCCCATACGTAGCCTTGAGATGTCTGGCTTTCTTTAATAACTATAATCTTTTGCTGTCCTGACTACTTGGTTTTTGTTGCAAAACTCCTATATACCCTGGCTCCTCCCTCACCTCTGCAGAACAGTCCCTCAGGGTTACCCGAGAGGCTGCCTCCTGGGCGTGCAGTCCTCAAGTTCACCGAATAAAACATAACTCTCAACTTTTAGGCTGTGCGTCTTTTTCAGTCGAGACCACCCCTGAAAAAAACCCTAGCTGTCAGAGTGACTGTAAGATTCTGAACTCATTGCAAAAGCTTCATTACCTATGTGGCCGTTAACGCTGCCTGGGAAAAGAAGTCAGCAGCATCGCTGAGGAAATCTGCAGAAAAAGACAGCTTGCAAAGCACTTCCCTCTCAAAGAGATTTTCCCCACGACCCATAAACAGCACACTTCACACAGTTTTGGAAAAGAATCTTCCTTAAAAACTGAGTAGTGCTTCTGCCAGGAAAAAAATAACCCCTTTAAAAAAAATCACTAATGTATTATGCATTTTAAACATATGATTAGAATACTATGCTCTAATTTAATTGGTATTACATAAAGTTAAAAGTCCCCAAACAAACCTACTTCTGAATTTAAAGATTAATGTATTCCATATCAGATTAGAGACACTAAAACAGAGGCTACAGAAACACATAAATTCCTTCATAATAGCCAATGGAACAAGGAATCAAAAACACACATGGTAAAATTGTGCCATGACTTCTATTTCCATTTTTAAGCTCCCCCCGAGGAAGCTTTCTTTACCTAGCTTGCGGACATTCTACTCCTAATGGACACTTGCCGGTATTAGGGGAGTTCTTTAAGATAATTTTATTTGGTGTCTTGTAAAGCAAGTCAAGCTTTTAAAAGATTTGTATCAGGCAAGATTCTAAATCAGGCTTCCTTGTCCACACCGCAGCTCTTCTACAGCCCTGACTCAATAATCTGAAGAGACAGGTGGGAGCGAAAGTGGTCCGGCTTCATTCGGCAGAAAACCGTCTTTCACCGGCTGTGCCTACAAAAGCCCTGGTAAACTTGTGATAAAGTACCAGACACCCTTAACTGCTCATCAGCTTAAGAAATCCCATGACTTTAAATTCCCAAAAATAGAGTCCACTCAATTCTATTTTTCCTTTGTCTCTATTCGTATATAACCAGAATCCAACAAACTAAGAACAGATGTAAAAAGCTACCATGAATTGCTACTAAATCGGTGACCTAGAGTTCATGGTGAACTTGGATTCAATTATACATTTTTTGATTACACAAGTTTCTCCTTAACTTTAGTATAAACAATTCTGTAATTTGGTAAAAGACCAATTAAAAACAGCCAAGTACCCTGAATGCTCTGTTCTTCTCTTCTTTCTGCTGCTTCTCCACTTCGACATGGCGGGCTAGACGAGCCAGGGTTAAAGCAACTTTGTCCTTCTGATGGTCGATGTGGTCTTTATGCGCAACATTACCCTACAATTGGAAAAAACAATTTTCACTCCTTTTAGCTAACAAATTAGCTTTGGGATAGCATATATCCACTTACCAAAGAGCTACGGTGCTAAAGAATCACTTACTTTTATCATTATCAAATTTCTAAGAACCTGTCTTACGTGTTTTATATTCTGTGTGGTATTTTGTAGGTCAGCCAATCAGCCATCATCATTTCTGGTTTTCAAATCTAGATAAACTATTTACCACCATTATTTACTGTATAGTCATTTGGATATTGAAAAGTCTGGCACTGCTTTGCCTTGAGCCTATATGGTACTGCCAAGCTATTAGTCCAGCCCCCAAAAGGTCTCATGGCACCCACACCCTGGGCTCTGGCTTTTCGGCAATGCCTGGACAGTATTTACATAAGAGAAATTCTTGATTAAAAGGAACAGGAGGAGAAGAAACGTAACCATTTTGAAATACACCAGAGCATTCTGTTCTTAACAATGCCTGTCCTCACGAGAAACTACTTCACAAGAACCTAACCGAACTGGCTCAAGACAAACAGGCAATTTCAGGCCACTCCAGCCATCCCGTCCCCCCTGAGAGGAAGGACTGAGACGCGCTGGTGAAGCTCCCAGTCCAGGGTGCAGGCTCTCCACGACTGAGACCACATCACACAGAACACTACCACTTTTCCAGACCTGACCACGACATTACTAAAGGCTCATTAAGCACAGTTCCTTCTACATGGTATATCATGTCCACCTGTCAACGAAAAAAAATCACAGGGATACCAATGGGAAAAAACACAGTCTGAAGTGTCAGGGCGAGCACAGAATGGCAAGCCTGGCAGGGATGCAGGACTCATCAGACCAGGAATTAAAAACTACCATGATTAATACGCTAAGGCCTCTAAGGGAAAAAGCTGACCTCAGGCAAGAATAGATGTGTAACGAGACAGAAATCCTAAGAAGAACCAGGAGGTAATCAGAGATCAAAAACACTACAACAGAAATGAACGGTGCCTTTGAAGGCTCACTAGCGGACTGCGCACCACTGAGGAAAGAGTCACTGTGCCTGAGGATGTGTCCACAGAAAACTTGCAAAACCAAAAAGAAAAAAGAAAAAACGCTGAAAAAAACAGAATATCCAAGAACAGTTACAAAAGATGTAGCACATACATAATGGGAACACCAAGAGATGACAGAGTCAAAGCAACAGAATACCTGTTTCCCCAAATCAGTGTCAGACATCAAACCACAAATCAATCAAAGAAGAAATAAAACCTTCTTTCTTTGCAGATGACAATCATCTTCCTAACAAAAACAACATGCAAATAAAGCAAACAGCAGTCACAGGTGAAGTAACCTGTGTAAGGAGATATTTACAGCAGCTTTATTCATCATCGCCAAAACTTGGAAGCAATCAAAATATCCTTTAGCAGGCGAATGGAAAAATAAACTGTGTACATCCAGATGATGGAGTATTACTCAGTGCTAAAAAGAAATGAGAGGGGTATACAGCTCAGTGGTAGAGCATGTGCTTAGCATGCACAAAGTCCTGGGTTCAATCCCTAGTACCTTCATTAAAAAAAAAGAAAGAAATGAGCTACCAAGCCATGAAAAGACATGGAGGAAAACCTAAATACATTATTACTAAATGAAGTCAGTCAATCTGAAAAGGCTACATTCTGTATGATTCTAATTATATGACATCTTGGAAAAGACAAAACTATGGTGACAGTAAAAAAAAAAGATCAGTGGTTGCCAGCAGTGAGGGAAGTGGGAGGGATGAACTGGCAGAGCACAGAGCATTTTTAGGGCAGGAAAGCTATTCTGTATGATACTATAAAGTGGCTACATGTCATTACACATTTGTCCAAACCCACAGAATGTACACCACCAAGAGTGAATCCTAATGTAAACTACGGACTTTGGGTGATAATGTGTCACCATAGGTTCATTGATTATAACACATGTATCACTGTGCTGGGGGAAGCTGATAACGGGGGAAGCTCTACATGTGTAGGGGGAGGAGATATATGGGAAATCTCTTCCTCTCCATTTTGTCTAGAACCTACAACTTTTCTAAAAAGTAAGCCTTACTGAATTTGTTTTTCAACTAGGAAGACTGGGTTAGTAGCTAAAATATGACTCTTTGGGCAAATCAGTCATATATGTACAACTCAAATTTCATCTAAAGTGGGTAGAGTTGCAAATCAAGCAGCAGGTGTGATTTTGCAAGTACACAGAAGGTCCACTGAAGTGAGCACATGTAACAAGGCCCAACTGGTATTTTTAGCACAAGGCTAAGTCCTTGCAGTAACGGATGCTCGCAGGATCACTGTGGGTGCAAGCAGTCCCAAACTAACTTTCTGACCACTTGGCCAGCCTATACCACTGCACCAGGTAGGAGGTAGCATTCTACTAACTTCAAAATGCCCTTTCACAAGTCATAGGGCAATGCAGCTTATTAAAAATGACACTCATAAAAAGCTATCTGAGCTCTGATCCTTTAGAATAGGCAAGTTCATCTGTTTTAAAAGCAAATTAAATTTATTCTTTACTCTTTGGGAAGATAAAAAATCAATATCTATTTCTTTTGGGGGTTTTTTTGGTGGGGGTAGCTAGGTTCATTTATTTATTATTACTATTTTTTTAATGGAGGTGCTGAGGAATGAACCCAGGACCTTGTGCATGCTAAGCGTGTACTCTACCACTGAGCTATCTCCTTCTCCCCATATCTCTCTATTTAAAATGTAGTTACTACCCTGAGAAGGAAGTTCAGAGTAGATTCAAAAAACTTTTTTTATTTAACGAATTAATAACATTTAAACACAGGCCTAGAGTGTGTTAGTTTTCCTGACAGAGGTGACTTTTTTTAAAGTTTAAATGCTAGCAAAAGTCATGCTTGGAAGGCCAGGTAAACCAAGGTCATATTGACACATGAGATAGACAAGGTACAGACCAGGGCTTACCTATAAAGTACGTTGTTTTGTCACCACAACGTGAATATTCTGGAGACAGGGGGAAGGCGGCGTTCTGGATTAACTAAAGTAATCCTAATCCAGGAAGGAACCTTGAATCGATGGTTCCACCATCATTTTCCCTTTTCCTAGGCCACAATAAAACTGCCATTCTGAGTGCCTCCCGAAGTTGTGCTCATATAGGAAGACTTTACAGGATATTTATTCCTCTTAAAGTTTACATTAAAGTACAAGTAGTGATTCTCTAATTTATAGTGTAAATTATAAATAAACTCTGGACACAAAATTAAATGAAAATGTCAGAAATACAGCGATTATGCACCCAAAGGGAAAATTTTTTATTAATCCACTAGCCACAACATATAATTATGTTCCTAAAACTTTACTCCCTTCAAACTATACACATAGCTAGGGAGATAAATTATTCAGCCCTTTAACTAACATTTAAACTTTTGTTTGGATCTCTTCAACTTCATTCTAAAATTATTCTCCAGACCTAAAATTTTACCTTTTTAAGGTCAAGTAAGTATAAGTCATTTGTATTACTGTCTGTTAAAATTCTTTTTCTTATATTTAGCTATCAGTAGCCTGTTATCTTTTATTTAACTATATAGTCACATCAACAACACATTTATGTTATTTCCAACTAATTCCACTGATGTGTTTATTAACTTTCAAGATTTTGAAGGGCTCAAAAAACCTAAAAGCCCTGATGCTGAAAACAAACAGAAACTAGAATTGTGTTTGGGCTCCTTCTCCTCCTCCTCTAGGGGACGTTAGTTTCCATTTACTTCTAAGGAAAAACAGAAAAAAAGAACTCTGGTTACTGATATTGAAAGTAGATTACTTAGATCTGGGAGACAATCTGTTGGGAGCAGATGAAAAGAAATGGTAACTAGAGAAAGGAAGAACTTTGACTTTGAAAACTTTGCCATTTAAAAATGACAAAATTGAAGTATTTTAAATAAGAATGTTTTTTCTTAAAGAGGGGGGAAAAAGCAAGTGCGGTGGCAGAGTGATATTCATTTAATATTTTCCCATCACAACCTTGGGTCTGGGGATCAAAGTTGCTGGGTAAAGCCAGCATGAGTAAGAGGTTATCTGTGAACACTCACTCTCTCCAGAAAGCCAAGTCCCCTGGACTTCTATCGTTAGTGATCCAAAATGACTTGGCCTCTAGATCTTACTGACACATTCCTCTGTGGTTCTGGGAGAACACACTGGCACTGGAAAGGCAGAGGGATCATTGATATTAAAACACCATGTTAGGGATTTTACCCACTGGGTCAGAGGCCTTATTTTGCATGGAAGTTTAACAAGTAATTCAAAGAATCAATGTGTTCAGAAACAAATTTTAACTTATCAGAACACAAGTGGGGAAATACTTACTGCAGAGCCAAAAGCTATATGGTATTGTCAGGAACACAGTCAGAAAATGAACTGATTTCAGGCTGGATGAAAATCTCTTAAATGCTTCCCATAGAACTAAGATGAAAAGGAGCCATGGCAGTCTTAGGTTTGGGCATTTCCACCATCCTGTTAGTGCCACAGTGCTGAACTGCGATTTAATGTGAAATCACAAAATTCCAGGGCTCTTCCTAGGGTGGATTTGCCAATCTCTCCCAAAGCCTCTAGTCTGAATAAGGATTCAGGCCCTTGAGCTTTTCTAAGAAAGGTCAGCCTTTCAGGTGTGTAACTTCTCAAGCTAGAAATGGACTGGCTCTCAACGCAAGGACAATGGGCTTTCAGTTTCATTTAGAATGTTAGCAGCTGTGGGATCTTCAGTCATCCTTCTTGAAGCACTTGCTGTCATCATCCTGGATTAACTTCTAGGGAGACAGAGGTCTCTATTTGCCAGTATTTTAGATCACTCTCTGCATCAGTTTTTCTTCCACGCCCAGCCACTCCCATTGAGGAACTTGTGTGGGGTCATAACAGAATTAAGGAGAAAGTTGTAAAGCCAGAAAAGGTTAAAAAGTAGATTCGAGTTTCAGTCCTTATGAAAAAAAAAGTTTTAACTAAAATGATGGTTTCTTTAAATGGGAAC